ACTTAAATATTTAGCTTGCTACTTAAATATTTAGCTTGCTACCTAAATATTTAGCTAGCAAGTTAAATATTTAGTTTATAAGTTAAATATTTAGTTTATAAACTATGACATTTATAAATGTATGAATCATATGGTGAAAAACTGACATTGAAAAATAAATCTGTTCTTTTTTCTTATAAAATGCTAAATAAAACAAAAATATTGGTGGTAATTTTTGACTGTGTAACTTTACAAACGGCACCTCACATTGTTGCCTTTTCAAAAATTAAATTGTGAGACATCAACTTATTTTAACCTTTTATGAAAAGCCTCTTAAAATCATTCAACTTAAACTGTGGTTGTATGAAAACTCTAAATCAAAAAGTTGGTTCAGTTGAAACRTGTAGAGTCCAACTTTCTGTGATTCATTTTGTTTTGAACGTTTTTAARGTGAATTATATCTGAGCTGTAGAGAAAAAAAGAAATGGGGTTTCTCATCGGTTTTGCCAAAATTCCAGAGATCTCCATGCTTTCTAGCAAATTTTTTGACAACACATCAACAGCAGAAGTCACAACCCATAATTCCCCATCAGCCGTACGTTCGATGCAGAATTTGCATGTTTTATTTCAAAGCTGTGCAACGAGACACAAGATGAACATTTTCAAAGGAATAATCAGGGAGCTTCAGTGCTYATGCATTGCCACACTTGATTAGGAAGGGTTGGCAAAGCCCCTTATTTCTTGTCAAACTGCATAAAAWTTAGTTTTAAAATCAATTACATCAGATTTAGCGTCTTGGAGTTGAGCCAAGATGAAGTTAAGCTTTTATTGGTTGCTTTATTTAAACGCCACGTTTCTTCCGACACTTTATTTCGTTGTAAAGTGCTGCTAGAAAACCTCTGACAGTTTACTCTGACAGGTACGGACACAAAAATTACGGAGAATGGAAAGGATAATTAAAGACAAATCCCCGCTAAGTTTTTAAGAGCTTTTATTCATTCTTCAAAGTGACTCTGAAATATTTTTTTTTTACTTTCACTCTAAATAGAAACCCAGACTTGGCAGAGAAGCGGCACCGACCCGAGGCCTGTCTGGTGGACCTCAACGGCCACCAGGACRAAAACGACAAGGCGTTCTGTCGCCCGCTGCTCGTCGGCTCGCGTCCCTATTTCAACTTCTACATCAACGAGGAAGACCAGGAGCAGGGGAGGCCGGAGCGAGACCGGGACAGGAGCTCCGGCAGAGACAAAACGAGCAGAGGGCTCCTCTCCTCCGGGTTGGACGAGACGGACGAGGTGTTTGAGGRAACCGGGGGACGCCAGCCTCTCGGCGGACCGGTGGAGAAGACGAAGACGGACAGAGAGTTCCTGTCTCACTTCAACATCCCAAACTTTGTCAACTTGGACCAGAGTTCAATCCTGGGRGAGGATGATCTGCTGTATGAGCCGTCGGTTATATTAGAGCGTCAGGCTCAAGCTCACTGTGAAACCCGCTGAGGCTGCTTCTGTGATTATTATAAATAAAGCGTAGCTGTGGTGAGGGTGTAATATAATCGGCTTTTTTCTTTCAGGAGCCGTTTGTAATGAGGCAGAGGCAAAAATATGCATCTGCTGCCAAAGTGGCTTGCCTAAGAAGCTTTTGAATTACCGTCTTTTATTTTATTTTTTTTATTTCAAACAAAAAGAGGAAACATTGCCCACAATTCTTCTCAAAGAACAAWCTCAAATTCTAAAATGATGTTTACTGAAGATGAGATTACCTCTGTTTTTGAAAGTAGAGTCCAGCTGCATCTGGACTCTACTTTCAAAAACAGAGAAGAGAATAATGAAAAAGTAGAGGGTCACTGGGGAAGGAGGCTTTGCAGAAAGCCTTCAGGTGTGTTATTATTACTCTGTRAGATTGGAGATACCAGGTGAAAGAAAAGCCAGCTGGTCGAGTGAGAAAATGAAAACGCATCGAATGCAATCACTTCTCTTACTCGAAATGTGCTCCGTMTGCTGACACCTGTGTTCTGTAGCAAAAAATGAAAAAAAAAAAACATCTGTGTTCCTACGTAAAGTAAAATCTTCATTTTTGTGATTAAAGTTCAGTTAAAATCAAAAAACGTAAAATTATAAAATAATGAATGTGGAATTTTGAAGGCCGTTTTGTTATACTGATATCATTTATATAATGTAGTGTTACATCACACAAATAATAAAAACTAAACTTTGATGTTTTGTCTGAATACTTTACAGTGAATTAAAGAACCAGCATGCTTTCACTAGCAGTAAAAAAAATTAACCTCTTGAGACCCCGTGTCCTCATATGAGGACATTTKCATTTTCTGACTCACTGGCCTTATTATAGATATCACTAGCACCATCCAGTGGTTATATAACAATATTATACTCATTTGAGTGAAAACAAGATGTCACGGATCCAGTATAAAGGGCTCGACACACGGGAGGCGACGTCGCTCGCTCTCCATTCATTTCCTATGGAGCCTGTGCGGTGAGGCGACAATCGCTCGCCCTCCTCCAGCCAAGCGACCGGCGAAAATAGCGCATGTGAAATTTCGCGCTCGTACACGTACACACACGAGCTTGCGACGCGACATATGAAAGTTGAAAAATGTTCAACTTTTGTCGCTGTCGCTTAGCGTACAACCAATCAGCGAGGGTTTCATTGACTGACCAATRAGAGGAGAGTATGCTACACACTGCCGTTAGCTAACACTTTCACCAAGTGATTACTAAAAAGCTTTGTGGGAATTTATTGGCACCAGGGTGAAGTTTATGGTAAGTTTTTCCTCATAAAACTGTATCTTGATGTGTGTTTGTTTTTCAATATCATTAGCATCGCAAGATTTGTTTAGTTTACACGTCCGTAATGCAMACCCGCCTTCAGAGTCAAGAACCAATCAAATTTTGTGAAGACAAGCGATCTGAGAGCGCGATTTGAGAGCGCGATTCGCAACGCTGCAATCGCTATCGCATCCCRTGTGTCGGGTTTCACCCTAGCTGTGATGACAGCCGTTAAACGTTGTAGTTTGTCGCTCCCCGTGTGTCGAGTCCTTAAAGCTATGACAGCAACTCTTGTCAGAAATCTGGAAAAAAAATCCAAATCATATTTCATACTTGGAACCATGGTGGATTTTTGCACAGCTACATATTTAGCTTCATGAAGCTTGTAAATTTGACAAGTTATTGCAAATATAGTAAAGAATAATGTTGGTAAAAATGAAGTCCTCATTTGAGGACATTGGGACTATGTTCTGTTATGCAGTTGGATAAATCTGAGAATATTCAGAATAATTCACAAGTATAAATGGATCTTACAAGTAGTACATCTGCAGTAGTAYGAGGATGTTCTGGTCAAATGCTCTGCCATCATGTTACGAAATCAATTCTTCAAACTAAGGAGCAATTTGAAAGCTGTCAATGATGATGATGAAGCACTTCACTGATCTTGCTCTGGTCAACAGCCGGCTGCTCTATTGCTAAAATAACCAGGAAAATGGTAATAGGCTATCATGACATTTCACATGGTAGTGGTTCAGGCATGCCTCAAAAAGTGTCACTTTCTTAGACCCAGTGTCCTCATATGAGGACATCGGTTTTTGCAAAAACAAAAAAATGTCTCGTACCACGAGAGAGTTATTATACTTATTAGGTCCTATTAATCACAGGTACCTTGACAAAAAATGCACACCAAACAAAAGCTTAGGTCTCACGTTAATCATTATTTACATTACAAAGATTCTAGATTTAATCTAATTCCGGCTTTTCATGCAAGAATATTAAACTAAGATGATCTTATGTTATGATGTTGAAGCTATTTCCAGTATATTTAAAAAATATTAATTATCTCAGGCAATATTGCAAGTCACTCAAGTGTAGAGGATTGTTTTTTGTTTAAAAATGAGTTTTAAAAAGAACACAGAGCTGCTAATTAAAACGTTATTAATCATTATAAAACTTCCATAAGTTTGAACAAGAACATGACCATTTTCACAAGATGAATATTTTTCTTTCAGTGTAAAAGGATGTAAATGAGTTTTGTGGTAACATTGTGAGTCTGAGGAGATCTGACAGGAGAGAACATCAAGAAATGAAAAACAAAAATGTCTCTTTTAATTCCTGTAAAAAAAAGCATCCTCCTCCAGTCAAAACAAATTAAAACTGTTCTGAGCAACACCGGCGGGACATTTATGCAAAGGAACATTACTGTTTGGACATWTCAGGAAGTATGCGAGCCACTGTATTTCTCAGAAAATCGAATGTGCAGAGAATGCCTAAGAGTTTATCAAAACCAGCGTGACTCGGACTCAGATTCCCTCTTTCAGAGTCGGACGGAATTAAAAGGTAATAAATCCGCTCTGAGAAGTGATAGGCATCGTAAATATAAAAGTAATGATCTCCGCTGTCATGTTTGTTAAAAGGCAGGCGGTCAGGAACAYGCTGAGTGAACGCTTTTTTGTTGCCCAGACCCATTTGTATTAAAAGGGCCTGCCCAGCTCTGCACACCAAACTCACCACAGGGAACGTGATATTCTTTAATTATTTTTCCTGCTTTACCCCATGCTCCGGCAAACAGCAATTAATCACTCTCCAACCGATGGATCACCACTGAGGCGTTTTTGTGGGGGAGGTGAAACAGCATCAGGTCGATTAGACGAGTGGGAACAAAGGTGCCACAGTTTGTGAACTTCCTGTTCTCCCTTTAGTACAAAAACAAAAGTTTGACATCAATACAACCGTGGAGAGTTTTGTTCGTAGCCTTTTGTTAAAGCAATGCAACATCCTGAAAGTCACTGAAATAACTTGAAACTGACAAAGTCATGAGAAAGTCAAATAATGAAAATCAACATAACAGTGTTATTTTTTTTAAAAAAGCAATGAAACTGGTTTTGATTAAAAGGAAGTTTAACGTTTAGTTTCACAATCGCTTTTTTGTGTCACTTCAGTAGAAAATGAAACCAAATATTAGTTTATTTATTTCTTCATCATCAGTGACCTTTTTTTAAGTGAAGAGAAAATAGAGACAGAGAGAAAAACAGAGAGAGAAGTAAGAAAGATAGAAAGATTGAAATAACGATTAGAAGTATGTTAAATATACACCAACAAAACACATGACCACACACTCAACATCTGTCCGCTCACCTGAAAAATAATGGATAAATACATGGAGGGCATATATAAAAATATAAATAATGGATAAATACATGGAGGGCATATATAAAAATACACACATACATATATAAAGATATACATACATACATGCCTATAATGGAAATTGAGGTGTTTGAAATGTTAACAGACACTACAAGGTGTCAACACAGCATGAAATTGAGTGTAAATTTAACACTCAGAGTTAATATCAAACTCTGTACTGTTGCATTTACACTGCTCTGTAGTTAGCAGAATAGTATAATGGAGTCACTCTTCACACACCAGGACAGACCTCTCACTCATGGTGTCGATTTATGGCAAATAACATAAACTCAAAGTTGAACAACTTGATCAAATTGAACAAGAAAACAAACCAGAACAACTAATTTTTACTCTCATGAACGTCTTTAATAGTCATAAACAGGCAAAAACATAATTTCTGTATGATTTCTCAGCAAGGAATGCTGGGTAAATGCTGGTC